GAGAACATTTTACTTGGGAAAGGAAGGGGGTTAAGGAGCGTCTTGACTGGGCATTTGGTAATGTTGAATGGGAACTGACGTTTCCTCAAAGCAAAGTGACGCATGGGTTAAAGTTCAAATCAGATCATCGAATCCTTGTGGTGAACACTGGTACAATCAATCAAGATAATAGGCATATGGAACGTCCATTCAAATATCAACCGGCTTGGGTTCTGGAAGAAGGCTTCTCTGATATTGTCACTAAATCATGGGACAATGCGGATTGGAGTGAAGGGGCAGCCTCGTTTAAACAGGAAGCAAGTCACTGGAATGCAACAGTAGTCAAAAGCATCCCAAGAAGAAAAGATAAAATTTTGAGGAGACTGGAAGGAATTGATAAGGTAAGGAGAAACAGGGTGTCAACTGGACTGTTCAAGTTAGAAAAAAAGCTATGGCAGGAATATCTAAAGCTTTCTACACAAGAAGAGCTCCTTTGGTTTCAGAAAGCAAGATGTAAATGGCTTCAGTGGGGAGACAGGAACACGCGATTTTTTCATGCTTCAGCAGTCATACAAAGAAGAAGACAGCAAGTGGGGGCATTAAAAGATGATACTGGAAATTGGATAACGGATCAACAACAGTTAAAAGACATGGCAGAACATTTCTTTAGAAACCTATATACAAGGGACACGGATAGTGACAGGATTTCAGAATGGTGTGCAGATTTCCCAGCCTTGAACCAGCAGGATGTTCTGTTCATACACAGGGAACTAAGTGACGTGGAGATAAAAAATGCAGCCTTTATGATGGGAGCCTTTAAAGCCCCGGGACCGGATGGTCTACAACCACACTTCTTCCAGTCACAGTGGAATATAATCGGGCAAAAAGTTTGTGGATTTATACAGGAAGCCTGGAATAACCCTCAGAAGGTTAAAGAAGTTAATCAGACACACATTGTACTTATACCGAAAGTGGAGAAACCTGAGACACTAAAGGATTTCCGTCCCATTTCGTTGTGTAATGTAATTTTCAAAATTATCACGAAGATTATTGCTAATCGTTTGAAAGGTGTCATGAACCAACTTGTAAGTCAGGAACAAAGTAGCTTTATTACAGGGCGACAAAGTTGTGATAATGTGATCATAGCTCAGGAGGCCATCCACACGATGAGAACGATGAAGAAAAAGAAGGGATGGGTGGCAATCAAGGTAGATATGGAGAAGGCATATGACCGACTAGATTGGGGATTTTTAGAGTCTACCTTAAAAAGTATCGGTTTGAAGGAAGAGATGATTGACCGGATTATGGCTTGCACTACCTCTGCATCCATGCAGGTCCTGTGGAACGGGAAAAATTCAAATGGTTTTCAACCATCTAGAGGGCTTAGGCAAGGAGATCCGCTTAGCCCTTATCTCTTTGTCTTATGCATGGAACGATTGGGTCAGAAGATTAAAAAAATGGTATATGAAGGAAGCTGGAGAGGTATTAAATTCAAACGGTCGGGACCTCTTATCTCACATCTTTTTTTTGCAGACGACCTAATCTTGTTTGGGGAAGCTACTTCGGAGCAAATGGAGACTATAAGAGGGGTGATGACACAATTCTGTAAGGTCTCGGGACACCGAATTAATCTGACCAAATCTAAGGCTTTCTTTTCCAGGAATGTGGGGTTGCAGAGAGCTCAAGAATTTTGCCAACAACTGGGAATTGGGAGAACAGTAGATCTCGGGAAATATCTGGGGGTACCACTTCTTCATAAGAGGATGACGAGAACGGTTTTTTTGCCGTTAATACAAAAAGCACAACAAAGATTGGCAGGATGGAAAAGCAGACTGCTCAATATGGCCGGTCGAACTGTGTTGATACAATCAGTGATGGCAGCTATTCCTAGTCATCTAATGCAAACAATGCTAATCCCCAAAGGCGTTTTAAAGGAACTAGAGAAGAGCAGTAGGAAATTTTTGTGGAACCAACAGGCATCAGGTAGGAAAATGCACTTGATCTCATGGGAAACAATAAAACAAGACAAGGAGCATGGTGGATTGGGTATCAAGGATCTTGTTAAACAAAACATTGCTTTTATCATGAAGCTATGTTGGGGTATACTCACCAAACCAGAAGCTCTATGGGTGCAGTGCTTAAGAGCTAAATATGATTGTGGAAACGATATATACCCGTTGATCAGTAAGAAGAGTAATTCCTCGGTAATATGGAGAAGCATTACGACGGTATGGGAGAAGTTTCATCAGGGAATCGGAAGACGGGTAAACGATGGGAAATCAACAAATGTGTGGTGGGACTTATGGTTACCGATAAAAGAACCATTGATCCATTATGTGGAGAATAATATTCACCAAATCAACCCTAGAGCCACAGTAAGCTCTTTTGTGTCAAGCACTGGACAGTGGGATGTACAGAAATGGAGAAGATTCCTACCTTCTTGGATTATTGAGTTTATTCAACAAATCAAACCCCCAGGGGGAGAAGAAGAAGATAGATTTGTCTGGAGGGAAAGTAATGATGGAAGATTTACAGTAAAAGCAGCTTATACAATGATGCAGAGGGAACAAATCATTAATTGTTGGTGGAAAAAGATATGGAAGACTCCGGTGCCGGAAAAAGTTAAGTTTTTCTTTTGGCTGGTCCTTCATGAAAGACTCCCCACAAACTCCCTCAGATCACACAGAGGGGTTGGAGTAAGTGAAGAATGCCCGTTCGGATGCCAAAGAGCAGAGACGGTGTTACATATACTCAGGGATTGTGAGATGGCTAGAAATGTGTGGGTTAATGTAATTAAGACAGAGTTTCTCTTTAAATTCCTGTCTTCTGATTTACAGGATTGGCTGCGTTTTAATTTCAAACAGGAACTAGCAAACAAGGAGTTTAGTAGGTGGCCATGGAGTCGAGTCTTCTGCTACATATGCTGGCTACTATGGAAAAACAGATGTAGTGGAGCCATGAATGGAAATAGAATTCAACCGACAAGCATCCGTCAGGCTTGTTTACATCATATGATGGAGGATTCAGAGGCGGGGAAGTATAAGCATGAGATATTCAAGAGTATGAATAAGACTAGCCTAACATGGGAACCGCCTGACGAAGATTATATGCGGCTGGATGTCGATGGATCAGTTTTTGGAGATCGACAAGCAGCGTGTGGAGGATTAATTAGAAATGCTCATGGCCAATGGATTGGGGGCTTCCAGAGGAAATTGCAACCTAACCCGTCAACAGCAGCTGAAGTATTGGGCGATTTTGACGGGTCTAGAGATCTGCAAGCACTTCCACATCGAAAAGCCAAACTATATACAGATTCAATAGAAGCCATTAACCTCATAATGCATGACCAGGGAAATCATAACCTACTGGGATCCGAAATCAGGAAAAATTAGAAGCATGATCTACTCAGAATGGGAGGTTGAGGTGCACTATGCATCGAGGGAGAGTATGAAATGCGCAGATTACCTTGCGCGGGAGGCCCACCAACTGATGGAGGAATTTAGAGTTCTACAGCATCCCCCACCGGGATGTATCCATTTTTGATCAAGGATTACCCACAGATGTAGAGTTTTTGAAAGTGTTTGTGCCTGTATTTTCAGACTTTAGTCTTGCCTTTGTAAAAAAAAAAAAAAAAAAAAAGAACATTCTGTTATTGTGTAGTTGCACAAACCATTCTATGAATGAGTTTGGCATGATTTTTTAATTTTTAAAATCACACACACGCGCTATAAAAATAACGATTGCGTACTTTATTCATCATTTCATTTTTTTAAAAAAATTATTTAAATATACAAAATAAATCACTTTTACAATCCTATACATATTTTAATGGGAATTTGTTCTAATTGCAGCGCTACCACTTACTATGTTTGGATGAAATCTTAAACTTGAGTGTATCATTAATATGTTCGTGTATATTAGTGTTTTGATCGGGAGAGGAATTTTTCTGCTTAGCTTTCTCTCCATGTCCTAGATTAATACCCGACAATTAAGATTTAATACAGGGTTAATACACACTTGACTCTTTTAAATTTGTCTTCGTTTTGGTTTTAGTCCCTTAAATTTTAAATAATAGGTTTTAATCTCTCAAATTATTTTATTTAAAATAATAGTATCTATAATCTAATAAAAAATTAGACTATTTTGCCTTTTGAGAAACCAAAACCTATTGTTTGAAATTTGAGGGACAAATACCAAAATGAGAACAAACTTAAGAGATCAAATATTACATTAACCCTTTAATATATTATACAAATATTATTATAATTAATTAAAAAATACATATAAATAAGTTTAACTTACACCGTTGAGAAGTGCAGACTGCAGGGAATGAAAAATTAAAAACATATAAATATTTCAATAAAAATATACCAAAATGATATACTCCTCCGGTCCTTATTATAAGACCCAATTTGACTTTTATTTGGTCCTAATTATAAGACCCAATCCATTTTCTCTTTTATATTTATGCATTTTTTTCCAAGATAATCCTTTTAATAATGATAGTTTAGCCAATGATACTTAATTAGCAAGGAATTTAGGAGGAATAACAACACTATTTATTATAAATAACCAATTTAACTTATTTCCTTAATCTTATCAAATAAGTCAATTGGGTCTTATAATTAGGACCGGAGGAGTATGAAGATTAACTTCCAACGGCTTATATATATTTATTATTTAATTAATATTATAATGATATTGGTATAATATATTGAATCTCAATTATTTGATCAACATCCACTGATAGAAATAAGAAGTGAAGAGAGGCTAGGTGGAAACATTCTCATTCCATTTTAATTGTATGAAAAAAAAAATGTGCACATACTAAAGCGGTAATTATTTTCTTCTCTCAGAAAAAAAAAAAAATCCGGCGTTAAACTCTTCTACTGTTTCTCTTATTTTTACCACGGGGATCCATTGCTCCTGATTAACTGGGATTCTGGGAATCAAACTGACGTAAGTCCCATAAATCTCTATAAATATGGGGCGAAGGGGACTAGCGGTGGACTAGCAGAGCGGGCCTTGTGAAAAATCTTCTTTCTCATCTCTCGATCCGAAACTGGGCCCCTCTTCTCTCTTATCTCAACCCGAATCGGCCATGGTCGCCGTCGCACCACACTCTCCCAAATCCACCATCAAATTCCTATGCAGCTACGGCGGCAAAATCCTCCCTCGCTATCCCGACGGCAAGCTCCGTTATCTCGGCGGCCACACTCGTGTTCTCTCCGCCCCCCGCTCCATCTGTTTCTCCGGTCAGTTCTCTTTCTTCTATAAGTCAGTTTCACTTTCATCTGTTTGGATGATCAACTGAGAGTGAGATTGTGTTGGTGTTTGGCGTGTTACAGAGCTGTTGTTGAAGATGGGGGACTTGTGCGGCTCACCTGTTAGCCTCCGTTGTCAATTGCCGGCGGAAGATCTTGATGCTCTGGTCTCTATCACCTCCGACGAAGATCTAGCTAACCTCATCGAGGAGTATGATCGTGTTGCGTCGCCGTCCTCCGCTTTAAAGATCAGAGCCTTCCTTTCACCGCCAAAATCATTGAGCAAGGTTTCCTGCTCTTCTTCCTCCTCCTCGTCCTCGTCGTTGTCTTTGTCCAAATCATCCTCATCTACGTCGTCTTCGTCGTCGTCATCTTCATCTCGCAGTCTTACTGCTGCTTGTGGTTGCTCCAATCTTGATTCCAGCCGGAGGTATCCGGTGATGCCGGCCACGGCGGACCGGTGCTTCCGCTCCGTGTCGGCGCCGATGAGGGCCTGTCCAATTTGCAGAGGAAAGTCTTCTGGGATGAATATTCCGCTTCCTCACTGTGCCTATCATGCTCGGAGAAACTCTGGCCACATTTACCTTATCCACAACGGGAACCATTGGCAATAGTGCTGGAGTAATTTACACATGGACCTATGAACATGAGAAGCAGATCTCATAATAGAAACGAACAAGAAAAGGCGAAAGAGTTTAAAAGTCATACATATTCCATTGAAAAATATTCCGAGATATATGATGTATATGAAACTATAAATCGTTTAAAAGGATTGCCGTATTAGCTCAGTGATACTTCATCGTTGATGAATTTTCAGTCCATTTTTCGTTTTGGTTGCAAATATATGATGGTGAGTATTTTTCCCTCCCTGTGGGTGTGATTTATTTTGGTTTTTTTGGGTCTTCCTGGGAAGTTAATTCCGTTGCCAAACTGCTTCCATGAAGGTTGGGTCCTCGTTTTCGCAGTTCCAACAATCCTGCCAGTGTTTGCCCCGTCATCCTTTTGTTCTCACTGTGCGCTTCAATGTTTGGTGACCCCAATTCCATTTGCTTTGGTGATGCCCTTATCTTTTTTGTCATTTGTCTTTTCTTCCTGAGTTTATTGATACAAAAAATGTTATATCAATATATCATATGAATAATATACTCTTCCGATCCTATGAATAATATACTCTTCCGTTTGCAGGTTCAACCAAAATAATCAGGAAGGCACGGCCAGGACTCTCTCGAGATGGATTTTGGAGACTGCCACTGTAAGTACCTACACAACTAAATTTCTTTTCCCAGAAAATTCTGACCAGATAGTAGATTTGATAGCTACCATTACTCGTGCGGTTTCGCTGATTTATCTGTTCAATACATTTGGGTAGCTAATGATGATGATCAATTTTAGATTTGGATATGGGGCAGATTAAATTCAAATGCCGCTGTGAAGTCCCATCAAACAGGGGGATGTGAATCAAGCTGAGAAGAACCTTGACATGGGGACCAGGACCTCTATCTTGAAGCACCTTTGTAGTGGATATTTTTGTTTATAGAATATCCGAGAGGTGCATTACATGAACTGATAATGGAAAACCATCACAGAATAGTAGGAACATTAAGCTTCAACAGAGCAACCTGATTAATTAACAAGAATAAATGCAAAAGCTATAAAAAGAAACAGTGAAAGAACCTTAATAATGAAGGGATTGTGCTTGTGGCTTCTCCAAACAGATATGGCAAAAAGACCTCCACTAATGTAATATTCAAAGCCAAGATTCCCCTCGCTTTCTGAATCTTGGAAAGATGTGAAATCCTCACACACCTAATTCTCTAAAGGACCCAAAATTTATTAATTAACATTCTAAATAAAAGCCGAACAAATTGAGAAAGTGAGTTAATTTTTGTTGTTATCTTCTGGAGGATGGTTCAAGGATGTCTTGTCCCACCCCACCATGTGCCTTCCCTGTCATTATGGCCTTCAATAGGAAATAAATAAATAAATTGCAATATAAGATTGGAGTCTACCCAGCATTTACCAGAATGAAGCGAATCTGATAAAGAAAAGACACAATGCTTGGCCATGGTTCAATTGTGGAGTCGCTGTTGAATTACAAGCTAACATTAATGGATGATGGGGTGAGTGGGAAAATGACTCGTGGGAGATGGGTATTACAACCGCTTGCCCCAAATAATGCCACAATTCTACTCATGGAGACGATGAATAGCAACAAACAAATAGAGAAAGACATTACAGGATTAAATTTCCGGTCATTTGAGAATATTAGATGCTTGGTCCCAACAAACAGAAATATCTTCAGCAGATAAGATTTTAGAAAGGACGATGTTAAGGAATTATCTTCATCTGCCCAAATAAACTTGCAAAATATCAAGGCAATTGTTTCTTTCTTGCCCTCCCTTTTTGCATCTTTTCTTCGTCAGTTTTCACTGAAGTTAAACCTGATCGCAATTCGCAAGCTTACGGAGCTGTTATATATCAAACCATGATGATATTAAAATCACCCAGACCATTACTAGCAACACAGTCCACCAAGTTCCCCAGAATACGTAACTGTATTGAGTTTGAAGATGAACAATTTTTTGGTTGGCCTGAGGTGTCCCGCCACTGGTCAACTTCTTTATCCTTATCTTCTCACTTCATCATCCCACATGGTGACACGAGACCACACCTCCCACCGTTTTCCACGTACCTACGTTGGTACTCGATCCTCAATTTTAATCATAACTCCTTAGTGCGTTGAATATTGCTCTGCCCTGGTGAATAAACATCAAATATCACTTCTTCAAGAGCTCTTTTCTCTGGCTCAAATCACGTCTTAGATGGACGTGAAGATTGGCATCATGGCATGTGAACTGTGCATTTCTCTCATGCACATTTTTGAAGGCTGACCAGTTCAAGTCATGGCCACAAGATATATTCATGATGCGGGGTGACAATAGCGATCAGGAGTCCAAATCCATAGAATGCATTTAACTAATTTAAAAACATTAATAAAATTAGTTAAATTAATTATTTATGATAAATAAATGTTGCCTTCATTAAAATACCCTTGTTAATTATGTGTATTAGCTAGAAATTCTATTTAATAAAATCTTTAATATGTGCAACTATTAAAATGACTATCTTGATAAAAATAGATAAATATGAGAAATAAAATGAATTAGGATTTTATATTTATGGTCAAATGGAATGTCAAATTAACTTTTATATTAAAGATTGAAGGTGGTAATTATTTTTGAGTGATAATAAAAGAAATATTGTGACCATGACTTGAATTGTCAATGTTGAGCAGAAGCAATCCATTATAGCTTCTTGTTGCGTAAATGTGTCTCAGCAAACAAGCCTATCTAATGGTGGACTCAAGTTCAAAACTCAAATCTCTCAGTTGCTTTTGTTAGGAGGATATTTATACATAACTAAAAAAAAAAAAAAAGGAAGAGAAAAGAAAGAATTCAGTCACTGAGGAAACGTAAATATATAATAATATGGAAATTGGCATCAAGAAATATGACCTACAAAACTGTGAGAGTGTTCATATCACAAAAATTTAAAGAAAATGTGTAATCTACATCAGTGAACAACCCACGACTGGTAAGCGCAAGTTTCATACTAGTATTATAAATTTATAATTCTCAAGATATGGTTGTGGTTTGCCGTACAATGAATCGTTTGCGTTTATTACGATCACATGTATTCTAATTAAGCCTCTGCTTTTCTAGAGGGAAGCCGCCTCCCAAATAAAAAGAGAAAAAAGGATTTAAGCTGTATACACCATTTGAAATTCCAATTTTAAATAAAGGCTTTGAGCACTTAAGGTCCCCCTGCAATAATTTGGACAATTTTTTAATAGAGTTGTGCAAAAAAACAAAAAAACAAAAAGTTTAGCTTCGAACTCGATGTGATTATTTGGGCCCATCGGTGTCAGTCGGAAACAATTTTCATTTCTCTTCGTTAAAGTGGTTCGAAGCCTATGGACTTTAATTTTCAGTTGGGCCCTTATTAATAATAGGAACACCAACGATGAAGAACATTAGTTGAAAGGAGCTGAGCCATCCTTTATTAATTAGCCATTACAACTAACGGAGTTAGATCTAACAAAAAAAAATTAGTCTCCTACCACATGATAAATTAAAATTTGAATTCTTGTTAGGAGATATGTTCATATTTAATGTTTGACAGTGCCTGAAATAAGATTATCTCTAATAAAAAAAGAACTGTGCCTACCCAAAAAAAAAAAATTTGGCCATGGCACCTTTTCGTTTTTTGGACCCCAGGGCCAGGGCAGACGATGAAATTTGGCTTCATGGTGTCCTGTAAAAAAAGTTAACTCTTCATCATATAGCAAATTAAAATTTGAATTCCTATTGAGAAAATTTCTCACATTTAACACTTGACAATACCCTGAATAAGATTCTCTTTAATGGGAGATTATTTGTGCCTAGCAAAAACAAGTGCATCTTGTTACTTTACTATTCCATTTTCCCCCTTTTGCCAGCGGTACTTTACTATCCGTACAAATTTTTTTTTTCCCAAAAGGTATAAATCGAGCATAAAAGAATTATTTTTTCCCCGTTATTTTGCAGTGAAATGCTATATAATAAAACATAAATAAATGAGTCCAGTGTGGTTTGAAAAATACCAATAGCTGGATAGCTTAGACGATCAAACTCGCTGGCAACTTGGAAATATGACCAAATTCGCGAAGGGCTACAAAAATAAATGACCTGCCCGGAAGTTTTGTTTTTAACATTAGACAAAGATTTTCTTATCCGAAACAATTATATTCAAGGTACTATCAGTCACTAAACGTTAACATTTTCTTTAGTGGAGATTCATATCAATCTGGGAAGGTGTTCATTTCAAAGCTAGTTGTTTTGTTTCTTCTGATTATAAAATCTATTTTATAAACCTTTTTAATCCCAAGTATTAAAAAACTCGTGTGAATTTTCTTGGGTATTAATTACTTTTTTTTATTAAAAAAATACCCTTTGATTTTTGAGCTCGGGATTCTTTAAATGGCACGTGAATTCATAGAGTAAGTAATAGGGGAAGTTTTGGAAGCTCTTGATTTTCCAATCAATCAATAACTTCTTTCACTTTTAACAGTTTTCCTCAATCTTAATAAAACTTGGGTGGTATTGGTCAAAAAATGAAATAAAAATTGGGTGAGCATATTATTGGGGACATATACATACATCATACATGTGTGTGTGTGTGAGCATAAAAGATAGATACCCCTCATTTATATACAGAGTTAAGAGCCAAAAAAAAAACCATAGTGGTAATAAATGGTGATTTTGATTTAGCGGAGGGAAATTAAGTCAATGGGTGAATTATGTGGAAAAGGGTTAGGTAGGCCCATGCTAATCCATAGTCCTAAATAGGTAGCCCCCAAGAATTCCCTCCTTCCCATATTTGAAGGAAAGACGCAAGATCCTCTTTCATTTTCATATCTCTCTAATTAATGAAGCTCACGTTCATATCCACTGGTCAAATTGTGGTGCTAGGCTGTTAGCTATTCTACATTCTTTTTTCCCCCTTTAGGCACATGGTAAGTTAACATCACGATGAAGTTAATGTTTAGTAATCACTTGATCAATTAATCTTTTCTTTCTACTCCTTTCATTAGTACATGTTCATATTAAAGGTGTGTTCCATCTTGAAGACTCAAAATGAGATTCATGAGCAAAACTTGTATATTTCCTCCTCTCATGATTTTAATATAAAAACTAATTGATTAATTTAAGTAGATTAAAGAAACTTTTAAGTAAATTATTTATAATAAATAAGTGCATAACTAAAACTACTATTTAATAAAACATTTAACATATGTAATTACTAGAAGGACTATCTTAGAAAAAATAGATAAATATGAGAAAAAAATGAATTAAAGTCAAATTAGTTCTTATATTAAAAACCAGGAGTAGAATAATCAAACATCTAGAAGTTAAGAAACAAGGAAGCTACGTTCGATTAATTAATTCAATTTAATATAAACACGATTTATTAAAATTCTTATTTGCTGTGCAATCTATTATCAAAGTATTATGTTCATTAAAAATAAAAATAAAAATTCCTTGCATAAAAAAAAAATTCCAAACGTTTGCCAAAAAAAAGAAACATTCTAAATAAATTTGGACCATTTATGTCAGTTGAAAGTTATCATATTCATTCATATATAGCTGATAGTTTGAACATCCGAAAGGTTTCAGATTCAATGTTACACAATCCCTCTTGATGGGTCTTCAGAATCTAAAGCAAGCCTTTAATTAATTCAAGAACTTTGTGACTGTGATATGCAACAAAGGAAATTCTCGTCTTTCAATCACTAGCCTGACAGATTGATTTGGAGCCAAAGTGCAGATGGAGACTGGTGATCAGTAAAGAAAGGTTTTCAATTCTCCTCTAATTCAAATGGCCGGCTCTCTTGCTGATACTGGATCTGATTTCTCGAATCTTTTACGCAAAACATCTCTAAGGAAGCAGATAATTTTATTTCAGTTACCTTATGGACAGTATGTGTTTAAACCTACGGTACTGTCACGTTTCCTTTTTATCTGTTATATTATTATATTGAACTTCTTGTCAAAAAGGAAAGTTAGAAAGAAACGAGATGATACTATGAATTGCCGTAACATCAAGGCTTACGTCTCTTAATTCCACATGCCAAGCGGCATCTTGTCTAATCTAAAACTGTTCGATACTATACGAAACCAACTTTAATAATATAGAAGTACTAATAATTATCATCACGGTAATAATGATAATGATAATGGAATGAAAAGTAGTTAATTATTCAACTAAAGTCAACTAGTGGTGGCACGGAGTAGCCGCAATATATTTGAAGCTTATCAGAAGCCTACCATAGCTCTGGTATAAAAGAGGCAGCTACCACCATGCACGTTTCATACAAAAAAAAAAAAACAAGCTCTGCCTTCTGTGCTAAGCAGTATGCTTTTGTGTGAGCGTGTATCTATATATGTCCACATGCGCGCATACACAAAAGTTATATTTGCTTTTTCTCATTAGCCCTAAGGGAATGAAAAGAGGCCCTACGAGTCGAGAAGTTACAAGTCAGGCAAAAGTTGACATGAGTGGCCAATGGAGTATCAGAATCAGACCCTGCACACGTGGACCAACACATGCATGTCAACACTATAATATGACATTTCAGCCCTGATTTATGATCCATCATAACCCACAATTTAATTAATATTAATTAGTTCGTCACACTGACGGTTTACCGGAATTTGGAATTTAATTAACTACTTTGAGAATCCATTAATTATTGTGTTGAAGAAGCTACTAATAACCTTTTACTGTGCTGGCTGCAACCGAATTTCAGCTTTTGCTATATATATCTCCCCTAGATATTACTAGCTTTCTTTACGGACGTTCTTCATCAATTATAATCATTAAATTAAATAATTTAATTATGTTACAGCTAATTAAGCAACACAGATTCATGGACTTATTGGATTCAATTCAATAATACTATTGTCTCGTTTATTTGTGGTAAATACTGCGAGAGCTATGTATATTCATTACATATTGTTAACTTAATAAAAAGCAAATCTTTAAGTTATATGACTTTTCAAAAGATAGTGACGGTGTTGCTTAAGAACCAGCATGGTCTTAAAAGAACTGAAGAATAGAGTGAATATATTTATTTTTAGGCTATTGGACCACTCCTGCTTCTTTTTAATGAATGAAAGGTTCAATAAATAATCTAAAATTTACTATATAACTATATTATTAACCTCTTCTACATATATGTGTGTGTGTGTGTCCCCTTGCCACATGTCGATGAATAGCATCAATTATACATTACAACATTATACTATTCGTAATTAACTATAGAGAAAAACGTGAATCAAAACGCAGGTGAAGTTTGGAAAGCAAAGATCCCTCCTCCCGGGGGTGCAGCTACACTAGAATTAATTAATGATGGAACTGTGGGTTTCTTTATGTACAAAGGAGGTGGCTAATTGGCTAGGGCTTTGGGGTTAATAGTGAGCTAGGGTTTTTAACTTTGAAGTAATAAAGAAAAGAAGAAGGTTGGGTGTACGTATGTGTCAGACAAGGAATAATGCGTTGACATGGGGAATGGTTGATATTGCAGGGCCATTGCTTTGAGCTGATGAGAGCTCGAAACTTGAAAGCAAGTTTGTGTGAGAGAGGAATGAGGATGTAATGTGTAGGTAGATACGTGAGGTCGAAGCATATGGTTTTTGCCAGAAACAGCAAAAGCTGGTGGCTGGGTCTGGGGACAAAACCCAGACGCAGAGGGAGCTTTAGTAGCGAGGGTTTCGGAAAAGAAAAGGAAAAGACAGAGAAGATTTTAGATTTGAGAAGAAGAAGAACAGGAAGGGAATTAATTAATTAATTAATGAAAGAGGAATTAATACATATGTAGTGTGTTATAGATAGCTAGGGAGACAAATGGCTCAGCAACCCACTGTCACAGACGTGTTGCCAGGCACGCATATATATCTCAGAATTAAATTAAAGCTGTTTTGTTGTTCCTTTTTCCCTCGCATGCAAGTGCTGCATGCTATAATATTCATCTTATCCTATAAATCCAAATGTTTGAGTTTTAAACTGTATCTAATTTGTTTGATGAAATGAGTTTTAAACTGCATTTGTATGATACGAAATGGGTCACAAATTTCCAGTTAATACAAGTTCTAATATATCTATTATCTGAGGGCTTTGCACACGCACACACATATGTAGATATGATACTGTGTTGTGCGCCCATAAGTTTTTTATCTCAAAACATAGCAATATACATAATTCAACCTGCGGTTTATGACGCTTTTTTCAATATATATATATATATATATATAAATTTAAGGAGATTGATTATAAGCTTTGGACCCTTAATCTGAATCTACCGTGCTACTTGTTTTGTTTCCCCCGGGGGGGTTAATATAGAAATTAAAGAGATTAACGCATCTGTATTGCGTTGATCGACAACTGTATGTTGTATTTACTGGAGAGTTTAAATTCACTGATAATTTAAGATCATGATCACAGTAATTTACGCACGCACACAACATGTATACTTTGGTGTGTTAAAGTTAATTAACGTGCACTAAATGTGTAATCCTAGTCTTACTCGCAAAAAAGAAGAATGAATTCATATGCATTATACAAAGAGATGAGGAAACAAACAAACTTCTATAAATATAGAATACAAATTTTATACCTAGCTAGTCACGTTAATTCTTTTCTACTATTTTCCCGAAAATGAATAAATATTAGTAGATCTATTTTGTAATTATATGGAAGTAATACTTATTAATTGGGTTTTGGTTTAATAATCGCCTAGCTATATACAAGACATTCATGTTTCATGCTTTAGATGAAAATAAAAGAAAAAGTAAACTTTTTTTCGCCTTAGTCATAAATATAGAGTTAATTAAAAACTCAATTCAACCTATTAAAAGTTAATTTTGGTTACAACGAAAGGAAGGAAAAACCTGAAGTCCTTTAAGAATCAACGCAACACTCTAAATGCGTTTTGTTTTAATCATAAAAAGTTAAACAAGGGAAGGGAATTTTGTTTTTCCTTTTAAAAAGAAAAAGCCCCTCTAAAAGTTTGCTATGGCATTCATCAACTCGTTTTCAAGGGTTAATGACTTTCAGTTAACTTGGCTCACTTGCCATCTAGAGTTCGTAGACAGCCGATATGGGTGACGCAAGAGGCTTCCTCGCAGCCATGTATTTATACAAACATTTAATTAGCTTATTATCTTCTCAAACAATTAATTAGCTTACAATCTTTTCAACAAACCCTTACGTCAATTATATCATCCTTCCCAAACTTTTAATGCAAAGTTGAGCTGATTAATTAACAGCTCATACAAATAGATATATATGTATCACATACCATCACAGACTCAACGCCCTGAACGGTATAACCCCATATCTTGTACTTTGATTTGTAGCCGCAGAGGCCTAATAGCCCACTCGAAAACATTAGTAGAAGTTCATGACCTAACTTTCATTATTGACCAAAGAGTAGAACTTCAATATTCAAGAGGCATCTACTGCTACATCACATGCAAGCAATTTAATTTGTTCATTGACTCGTAACACAAAATGCAGCTGTTAATTAGTAACATATGATCAGTGTTATTATTACCTGAAACAGATCCAGGCGAGAGCAAATTCTATATCGAAATAAAATACTTGGCTTGCGGTGGGTTTACTGTTTTGTCGTTTAGCTGAAAATCTTCACCCTGGCAGCTTCAGCTTGCCTTTTCCACCAGTGAGTACACCTTCCCCAATACCATACTCGTGCTAGTCGCTAGGGTTTTGGCCTTTTCAGTTCTCACTTTTACTTTAGTGGTTTTGATCAAAATCCCACACATAGCAACAAACACCAAGAAGAAAAAGGAGAAAACGACAGCACAACCTGGGTATTACTTGAACCAAAATCACCATATTCAAGCGAAAAAGAAGAACATATACACAAACACACATATATGGCGCAGCAGATCAAAAGTATGCAGCAAACAGACACAAACTTTTTGAGTTCCAAAGTCAACGCGCAAAGTTCCCAATTGAGCACAACATGTTCACAAAGATTTCCCCCACTTCCCTCCGAACACGTCCTTCTCATGATTCCCTCTAGTGTTCCCCTACCCATCCGAAGCATACGAACATAAAAAAGGCATACGGTATAGTATGAAGTCCAAAGGCAGAATTGCATGCTTTACCAGAAGCTAATTATAAGATAGCAAAAGCTCATAACTTTCTAAATGAAACTGCTTCCCAAAAGGAGGATGCAGAAGAGTACATAGTCGAGTTTTTAGGACGACCTAACCCAGTTGATATTACCAACAAGAAAAACCCTAACATAGAAAGGAATCAACACACATGCAGGTCACCCTAGATCACTGTGATTCCTTGAATTGCTCAGCACTTAACTAGCAACATTTTACACAGAAATGAAACTACAATTAAGCGTTTTGTATCCTAGCTACAAATTCATTGAGAAGCTCTGGATACTGGAAAATATCTTCCATGATGGAGTACCCTGCACCGTTCATCAAGTGAAGGTCGCTTCTACGAGGCAAGCCTTGTCCAGTGCTGTAACCATTCTGAAAACTGTCAAACTGCTGCATGGGGAAACCTCGGTGGTCGGAAGTAACATCATAATTCTCAGCCCTGGTCACCTCCTTATTGCCAAGACTTTCATAGCACAGAGAAGTAGCGGAAGTGAACATGCCATGATCATACACTGGCTGAGGAGGAAGCAACTGTGCCGTCGACAGAGACAGAGTCTCCTCTTTAACGCGAACCTCCGACTGCTGGTTGGGCTTTGATTTTGGTAAGAACTTATGCACTATCTCTTCCAACAATCCAGAGTCTGAATGCTCTCTGGGAAAGAATTCAGATTCTTCATCAGCTTCAGTAATTTTGGCATCCTCCATATCCCCGCCAGCAGAATTCACGACACAGCAGCCTGGAACAGAACTAGAAGGTAAAGATGTGGAAGACGAGGAACCAGAACATGAACATGTGATCTTGTTCACGGGGTTGTAAAGTTGCTGAGCAGAAGTAACCAAAGATGGATTAGAAGCAGAGTTAAGGTAGTCACGAAACAGAAACATGTTCAGAGAAGAATTAGCAGGAGAAGAAAAATCAGTGACGTGAGAGTTAGAGCTAGAAGTAGGCCACCCTAAAGGGCGGTTATGAGGGTTCAGGTTTTTGGTCATTTGATTGTGCGATTGTTTGGGGAAGGCAAAATGAGGGAAAAGATGTTCGGTGGTTGCAGAGGGAGGCGGTGAAGTCGGGTAAACGAAATTGGTGCGCGCTTTGAGGCCACGCATGGCTCGGGCGGCGCAGTCATAGGCGCATGCAGCTTCCTCCGCTGTGTCGAAAGTGCCGAGCCACCGTCGCTCCTTGGACTGAGGGTCTCTTATCTCCGCCGCGTAACGGCCCCAGGGCCTGCGCCGAACGCCGCGGTACCTCATTGTGCCGCCGTTTTCTCTGACCGTCCTCTTGGCGGTGGTGGTGGTTGGGCACTTCTTCGAGGGCTCGGAGATAGAGTCATGTGGGTCGGGTTCGGGAATCGGGGCCAACCCGTTAAGCCTCCTGAGTGCTTCTTCCATGATAGGATTGGCGAAGAAAGAACCGCTCGAACGAATGGAATCAGCAGACTACGAGGAAATTGATTAGAATTTATCAGTTCAGAAGCTTTCGTATCAGCATTATTTATAGAGGAACACTGAGCTCCCTTGGCCGCATGACAGATAATCAGAGCCAGGGATTTTTTTTTCCCAAGCACCAAAAACATAAATAACATTTTTCCCTAGCCTTCATATCTAACTATTTTTTTAAAGCTGTAATTAAATTCTATTTCGTTTTGTTTTAAATGAACTATCTTCATTAATTCCAACGTCTGAAAAATGTGCCCAATATACTAGTGTGTTGCAATTGGGATCCTAGCTAGAGCCACCTCTACAAACACCTTTGTTGTGAGGGGGATATTAGGATAGTGATTGATTTGAAAGGTTATGTTATTATTGCTATTTATAACTAATAAAAGAAGGGTACCATACATGTAAAGTATTTAAATATAAACGTGATATGGTTTCTTTTTTACCTTAGTGTTATACGGTTTATTCCTTATAATAATCTGTATTATTGTAAAAATCATATGATATAAAACTTAAGTGTCTTAGAAATTAAGCTGTCATAAAAATTGAAATATATTTATTATCACTAACTAGGAGTAATTAACTTGGTTAATGAGCTTATAATGTGTGTTCATGTATTAAGCTTTCTTTTTGTTCAGAACTGATGAAATGGGTTGAATTCAGAGACAATGACATTTTTAAACGCATTTAATTTGCTCTAGATGAAACCTAAGCTATTTTAAAGTGCCATGTAATAAAAAAAATTTTAAAAAATCCATAAGTAATTAGGAGTTAGAAGCGAAATTACAAAGCACTCTTAACTCACCAAAAAAGAATTGTAACTATAATTCCTAAATTCACGACACGATAATGTGATCTGCAATTTGCATTTGGCCTTCTTCGGCAATGATAGAGAAGTTAACTTCTAAAATTTTGCGAGTTTTAATGATTTGATCATTCAAAGTGTACAGATGCTTAATATATAACCTAATTATTGAATTGATTTTGATCCTACATATAACACATATTTCTTATATTTATCAATTTTTTTCAATTATTTCTATTAATACTTTTTCAATTATAATCAAGTAAAAAATGAATGTAGGATATTAACTATTAAGGATGATAATTATAATGTTTTAAAAAACTTATTTTTTTTGTAATTAATTGCTAACTTATTTAATTTTTTAATCTAATCAAGTTAGTTAAATAGATATTATAGTAAGTACTATAAGAATATCTTGCAAGATTTTATCAGTACGTAGTATTTGGATTCTTAGACTTCCGAATTTATAATTAGTGAAGAAAACTTTCACATCCTCTCCTTTAATATATAGGACTTTTTTGCAAAGATGAACTACAAAACACACTCCAACAGGTTATAAACACGAGAGAAGAGTTTTTTTTTCTTATTTCCAATGTGATTGAAAAAATTTAGTTTTAATTACTCATTACACGAGGACCAAATATAGAAGGCTTTTTTATTGACATATAATAGCCCAGCTCTAATTATCTAATTGCACTAGTAAATCTTATATTTAGAATCAGAGATAATATAATATATTGGTTATTTTTGAGCCATGATTGATCTCCTTTAAGTTTTGATATTATATTTATGATAAATGTAATTTAATATGTGTGTTCTGTTCATGTTTTAAGGCAAGTGACATCCAACCAATCGTTAAAAATTTCAAAAGAGTATACCTTTGTTTCATAACAAGTTCATGCATCCCTCAGTGCATGCTTGAATTCTAGTTGAAAGGCCCAACTTCCAAGCCGAGGTTTAGAGAACTTGGTTAACGTTCTAATCAGGCCTGACTTCTGTGAATTAAACACGTGTTTCGTAAGTTGAAATGATACTGTTTTCCAGAGGCCTTGGTTCTCTCAGCGTCATTCAGTGCTGGATTTCTAATTAAGCGTTTGGGAAAGCATATAAAAGCAACTATAATCAATTAACGCAGGTCGTGATAAAATCCTTCGACCATACTCATCATCTTGTATTTCACAAATCATAACTGAAAAGTTATTTATAAGTTATTCTAAACAGGCTCTTGGAATACAGATTTAGGGTATGTTTAGATTGATATTGGGTAAAACTGACTTTTAACCCAATTAACTTTTATAACTAAAGTTAGAATACAAGTCAGTTAGAATAATACGATTTATGTTTGGATATGTATTTTTAAAAAGTTAGTTGAAAAAGTTAAAAGTTATTTGGATGATTAATAGAAAAGTGAGTTTAGTTGTAAAATGATTGAAAAGAGCATGGACTTTATTGGATAGTAATGTTTGATATTTTGTGTTTTTAATGTGATAATTGTTTAAAAAAACCTAAAATTATTATTATAAAATAAAAATAGTTTATTTGTGAGATTATAAAATATTTATTTATTTTGTTTCTAATTAATCCTTGTAATGATTATACATATTAAGGAGTTTTTATTAATGGGTAATTTTAATACACATGATTAACAAGAATATATTAGGCAAGACAACATCAATTTATTACAAATAAATAATTTAATTAATTTTATTAATATCTTCAAATTAGTTATGTAACTCTTATATTAAGAACACGTAGTATCAAATTATTGGGTTTGTTGGGGGTAACTTTGTCTTTTTCAATTATCATCTTTTCTCTCTTCACGTCTGTGAAGGCAAGAGCTCAAAAAATTAGTTTCAGCATTAGGTATCTTTTTATCCAAAAATTCATTTGCAAAAACGCTTATCCAAACATTTGTTTGAATGTTTGAGCATTTATCTACTGGTTTGCGCCCTTCAATGCACGCTTTCCGTTGATCAAACATGCGCTTGATAAGTAAACGGATTTCTAAACCCAGCGTTGATGGCATTGGATGGAAATAATGCACATCCGATGCTTGTGCAATTTACGGTAAACTAGAGACATGAGATTACTTATATACTATCTCTTCTTCTTAATATAAAAATTAGTTGATTAATTTTAATAAATTAAAAAAATTAGTTAAGTTAGTTATTTATAATAAATATGTATTGTTTTCTTTAAAATACCTCTAGTACGTATACTAACTAGAACTTATGACAAATACTATCTTGAAAAAAGATAAATAAGAGACAAAATAAATCAGGATCTTATATTTAAAATTAAATTAAAAATTAAACTAATTTTTATATTAAGGACTAAAGATAATATTTGTATATCACTCCAATATTTATTATATGTCACTTCTAACTCATTTTCACGCATCAAGAAATATATTGAATTGATAAAAAAATTTAAAAATGGTAGTATTTACCATAGTTTTTTTTTAATTTTATATTTAACGTTATTGATTAGACATGCCTGCATAATCTGTAGGATCTAAGATATTATGTAGTGTTTTGAGTGAATGAAATCAATGAATTGATGTAAATTTAATGAACTATATTGAATTGTACAAAATGTGGAAAAAAGTATTATACACACTATGATTTATAAATGATACGGGTCAGTGCATATTTTATTTCTTGCAGAAAATATATTAATTTCATACCAATTTATATTAAATATACTGATAGTCTTGGCTCTTTTAGCCGTCCGCAAAAACTTCAATGCGTCTTCATCTTCTTATGGCCACGGGGTTACAACACATCTTCACGCCATAACTTCGTCCCGACAGCTAGGCCGTTGGAAGAAATAATCAACTATGATGAAATCTTTTTTTTTTTTTTAGCTGAAATGATGATGAAATCTAAAAGACAGCTTTCTGCAGATAAATAATGTATTGAAGCCGCCATGAGTTAAGTTAAAAGGATCGCTTGCGCAAGTAATTTCTTGTGCTTTTAACTAGCGAGTATCAACAAAAAGAAAAAGGAACATATAAGAAGTTAATACAAGAAGGCGGTGAAGTGCTTTACAGAATGAAAACAAAAGACACTGAAGATAGGCAAGCAAATCAAACTCATTACTGTAGTCTTTAATTAGACGTGCTTGTTCAAGTTAAAAAACAAAAAGAGCACAGATTATGAAGAGGGAAACCATGCTTTTGTGGACACTGACACGTCCATTTCACCCCTCCTTGGGAATACAATTTTGAAAAGCAACGCTTCACATTGAGGGAGTTTAGTTGCGATGCAAAGATATTAGTTGGAGTACAACCCAATTTAGGGCATCGCTTACTCATATCACAGAATGGATCTCTCTCAGATCACTGCATTTTACGTTGGTCGTCTTCATCATCTGGTTTTCTTTTTCTGACTAAGAGAGCAGTAACTACTTTTAGTGACCACTTTAATTTGTAGCTATTAAACAGAGCCTATAAATGAGAGACAAAGCCATGTGATCTTTAAATCCTTTGGTTTTTTTCTACCTCCACATCACTCAGTAATGATGCTTAAAATCACGTACCTTTCCATAATCCAACTTCCACCTGTTACTCAAAAGGAAAAGATTAAGTGAAAAGCAATGAGCTGAAACCTCCATTGTAGGAGGAACAACTTCTGAGCGCCGCCAGTGTAATCATTCAAAATTCATAATCACCTTCAGGGACCAGAACCCTGAATAGACTTCTTCCCCAACTTCCCAGAAAGCCTTTTTATTCTCATATTATAGTAATGTATGAAAAAGCTTAGATATAATAGTATAAACAAAAAGCAGCTCGAAAATCCCAAGCCTTTATTACATGTTGGATGGAGACGTCGGGATGTGTAGGTCTCAGTAAATGGCAAAGTATTCTTTTCACAACTTCGATCATTTCCAAGGCATCAAACATGATGGAGATTCAAGATTGAGAATTGAGAATTAATGAAAAGGAAGAAAAATCTGCAAGATCCTTAAATCCGTAATTACTCCCTTTAATTAGTTTCATTACAAAATCTCAATCCAACGGTCAATTATGACTTTACATACTCCAAAGAAGTGCAGTAGCTTTCTTTTTCCATCTTCTTTCCTTCTCCCCGTCCTTTGCTTATCACCCTTTTCTTGTTTTCCTCTTAAAAAATGCTCCGCTATCTAT